CCCCTGTGTCCAACCTGGCCTTGAACACTGCCAGGGATGGGGCAGCCACAGCTTCTCTGGGCACCCTGTGCCAGCACCTCAGCACCCTCCCAGGGAAGAGCTTCTGCCTCAGAGCTCATCTCAATCTCCCCTCTGGCAGGTTCAAGCCATTCCCCTTGTCCTGTCCCTCCATCCCTTGTCCAAAGCCCCTCTCCAGGTCTCCTGGAGCCCCTTTAGGCCCTGGAGCTGCTCTAAGGTGTCCCCTTGAGGAGCCTTCTCTTCTCCAGGCTGAACAAGTCTGATGATTGTTATTCCCTGGAGGCGTTTAAGGCCAGGCTGGACAGAGCCTTGGGCAACATAGTTTAGTGTGTGGTGTCCCTGCTCATGGCAGGGGGTTGGAACTAGATAATCTTAAGGTCCTTTCCAACCCAAACCATTCTATGATTCAGTGATTTTGTTGTTGTTGTCATCATTATTATTGTTGTTATTATTGATATTATTATTGATGATATGATTGTTGTTGTTGTTGTTATTATTATTATTATTCCATGAGCCCTTTCACTCCTATTGCAACATATGTGGGAGTCTCGCCCAAACCCTTCCCTTAGGAAGGACCAGGCCGACTGAAGCAGCATAATTCTGCTTTCCAGATCCCATTCCTGGCAGAAGGCATCCGGATTCATGGGGAGAAGGTGACAGAGGCGCTGCGGCCGTTCCACGAGCGGATGGAGGCTTGTTTCAGGCAGCTGAAAGACAAAGTGGAAAAGCAGTACGGGGTCCGCGCTGTCGTAAGTTACCTGCTAGCTTTATGCTTCCTAGATACGTGGAATTCCTTTAAATTCAAGGCAGTCGTGTGTTTCTCTGTTGTAATTCCCACTGATGAAAAAAGCAAAGTTGATGCAGCATTGCCTGGTTGTTCTCAGTGGTCATCAGGTTATTAAATACTGGGTAGATGCTATTAAAGATGCTCAGGAAGCCTTAGTGCTTTCATTTCCCTGCATGGGAACAGTTCCTAAATTGCCTGAAGTTAAGATAATTCTTCAGTTTTTAAGGAATTAGGTTTAAGAAAACAAAATAAAATAGAATTGCCACTATAGCATGATTTTCCTACAGCTGAATGTCACCTTTCCATGGATGTAACTCCTTTTGAGACCTGAGGGCTGTGCTGCTCTAGACTTGCATGCAGCCTTGCATACACTGGTACCACCCTAAACGCAACCAGGCAGTGATAAGATAGCTGCTACTTAGTGGGATTTAGTACTGCTGGAGCTCCTGCTTTTGTCATTCCAACAAGCTGTTTTCAGTTGCTGCTTCATCTTTAAGGCACAACCAAGTATTTGGTGGCTTTTCCAGTGAAGATTTGGTTTGCATTTAAGTTCTGTTACCCGTCAGGGAGGAAGGCCAAAAGCCAGCATACAGCTGCATCATTTATAGAGTCCCAGACTAGTTTGCATTGGAAGGGACCTTAAAGCTCCTCCAGCTCCAACCCCTGCCCCGGACAGGGACACCTTCCACTAGAGGAGGTTGCTCCAAGCCCCTGTGTCCAACCTGGCCTTGAACACTGCCAGGGATGGGGCAGCCACAGCTTCTCTGGGCACCCTGTGCCAGCGCCTCAGCACCCTCAGTGGTTGAAGTAGCTCTAGGACTGACTACATGGAGCTGGTGTCCTCATAATATCCTGAAGGCTGCCGGGGTGAGCTGCTGGTACCCGTGACAGCAGTGGTGTAAAAGTGCTATAATTTCTAGGTTTATTTTTGGAATGACAGCAGTATTTGAGGCTCACGTATGCAGTGCATCTCTTCTCACTGCTCCAGAAAATAAAGCACATAGATTTATGAGAAAAGACCCATCTGTGCTCTTAGCACAGAGATGTGTGGTACACTGCTAGGGTGACTTGGGAGACAGCTGACTTCCTCCATTAATCCTGTGATGGTGACTTGTAGGTCCTCTCCTGCCTTATGGCTCTGCAGGTCCCCCAACCTCAGCACAGGGACACCCCATTTACCCACTTGCCTGGGCAGAAGGGTGGCACCACAGGGTGCCATGGTGGCCTTAGGCTGCCCTTGGCATGCTGGAAGTTCTGGGGTCCCCGCTTTGTTGCCAAGGATTTTAACTGTACTTGGAATCATAGAATCACAGAATGGTTTGGGTTGGAAGAGAGCTTAAAGATGACGTAGTGTGTGGTGGCTTCCTTCTGAAAAGGCTAAATTGCATGGTTGCCCCAGTTGGGGTTGGGTCATCATTTTTGGAGGTGCTGCATCAATTCACATACATATTGAGACAGGTAGTACTTCATGGGCTCAGACGTTGAAGGTTATCTTCTGCAGCCATGAGGCTAAAAACATCTGCAGTTGTGGTTTTCACCTGTTAACTGAAAACCCAGTTGTACAGGAAGGAGGTCATAGAGGACCTTTGTGCCCTTTTCATGCCTTTCCTACCTTCCAATCCATGCCATTGGGTTTATCGATGTTGTGCCAATCACATCCATTTAACCAGGGTGTGAATTTGCTTCCAAATTACTTCTGGAATATCCCACAGAGGTTTATTCTGAGGAGTGGATGATGCAGGATACAGTGAGAGAGGGAACTTCAGCCTTCTACTCAGTGAGTTACCCAGAGAAGCTGTGGCTGCCCCATCCCTGGCAGGTTGGACACAGGGGCTTGGAGCAACCTGCTCTTGTGGAAAGTGTCCCTGCCCTTGGCAGGGGTTGGAACTGGAGGAGCTTTAAGGTCCCTTCGAACACAAACCAGGCTGGGATTCTATGAGATGCAGAGCATCCTGGGCTAAGGGGTTGGCAAGAAAGATGCTGCAGCAGGCAGGACAGCGAAGAAGTGCCAAGTGATGTTCTCTGAGTGCACAAAACCTCATTGGAATAGTGTATGCCAGTGAAGTATCCTGTTGTGTTTTATGACAGGCCTTCCTTCAGAGATTAATTTTCACTTTTGTCTATGGTGATGACTTTTTTTAATGGGAACACTGAGATCTTATGGGGAATGTGCTAGCCTTTATGGTACCCTTCTAAGTGGTGTTCTGTTTGTAGCCCTTCAAATCCCATTTTGCCAATATATTTAGGAGGAGAAAAGCTCTAATAGCAATTTATTCCCAAGGAGAGCAGGAATAATTGACATTAATGATACTTGTGTGTCAGTCATTTCAATAAAGTATGACTTTCACTGGAAAGTCATACTCAGGTGGTGTTATCTTTCTAATTTCACTCTACCCACCAGTAAGAATTGTCAGGATTGATGGAGTTTTATCGCTTCTGTCTTCCTTGTACAAGGCCAATTTACCAGTAGCTGACAGGGTGGAAAATATACCTGTAATTAAACAGCATGAGATTCGTATTTGTTGACTGAAAGAGTTCAATTATTTTATGCATATACCAGTTATTAATGACTAACAAAGCTTGCATAAATATTCAGAACTCTGAAATTGCCTAAAACAACATAAAAAACCTTTCATATATTTGCTTCTTCACCTCGATGTCATTCTGTAAATTGGCTGTCTTCACATGAAGTTCTTTCTTCTGAATATCTTTTTCACTTTTTCTTTTTTAAGCTCTATTTCATTTAAATATACTGACAGGACAGAGAATTCAGTTATGAAGATGGATTAAAAACAAAGTTATTTGTAGAAAGCTCCTTTTCAAAGCCCAGATGTAAAAAAGCATGTAAATACCATTGAAATAAAGGAATTATTGGAATATGATTAAAATGATACACATGCCTATGAGGACCTACATATTTCTTCCTAGTCCTTTAAATGGATTTTTTTTAGAGTTTGTTCCTTTGTTGTTAAACACGATGAATAATTAAATCATATCAAACTCTGCACAGAAGAAAAGCCATGGAACATCTCCACGTTACTTTTGGTAACCAGATGTCAGCTCTGTTGTGACTTAAGAAGTAAGATCTTGTGCTTCTTTACTGCAGCTTTCAAGTCTGGATGACAGACGAGGCAGCCGGCCACGGTCTATGGTGAGATCCTTCACGATGCCATCATCTTCAAGACCCCTCTCTGTTGCATCAGTGTCTTCCATCTCCTCTGACAGCACACCTTCTCGACCTGGCTCGGATGGGTGCGTAAGAAATAGTCTTTCAGGTCTTAGCTCTGTAAAACATGGTTTGTTGTGTGCACTGATAGGATTGAGAATCATCACCACCCCGCTCCAGATCTCAGTGTTACTCCTTCCCATCCCACTGACTCCTCCTGTGTGGCAGCACGGTGGTTGGTTGATCTCATAAGGAACTGTGGGGTGTTTTGCTTGGGTCTTTTCCCAGTGTATTTTATTCCAGATTTGTTTTATCATACCCCACAAACATTAATGTGACACAACGGTGTGACTAACTAGTGTGGGGATGGCACTTCTAAGTCACAGCCTTGGCTAAAAAAACCCAACCTGTATAGACATTTATTTCGAGGTATGTTCTTTGTCCTTTTTCGTAACCATTAATGTAATGCTCTTCTTGGTCCTCTTTAAAACAAAGTTAAACAAATCCCTAAGCATTCAAACTAAAAACCCCAAACAAGCAGGAGATAAATGATCCCTTCTAAAGTATTGCAAGTGTAATAGTTCAAAGTGATCTTGTCCAAAGTCACTGATGGGATGTGTGTGCAGCCGGCCCTGTCATGGTAAACAGGTGGATCTTGGGAGAAGGAAGGGATTAGCTGCCTGCTCAATCATTTCTGCTCACTTCTGCTGCCAGAGGAAAAGCTGCTTATGGCAAGATTGTGCTTCAAGACTTATCAAGATATTTCGCGTGAGAACTGGGAATCCTGTTGATAAGCCCTGTCTCACGGGCACATCCCTCAAAAGAACAACATGATCTGTTTGCTTTGTGGGGTTCAGAAGTTTCCTTCTCCCTTTTCCTCCCCCCAGGCATTCCCATAATCCAGAAACTTAATATTTGACCAAGGAGGCAGGTTTTTAAAGCCTCCTGAAGGGCTGCTATCTTAGAGATGTGCTAGAAACATCAGTGTCCCCTGTGCACCTTTAGGGGGAGTTTGTACCTGACCAGAGAGTAAAAGCATTGGGTAAAGTTCAGTACAGTACCTAAGGACCTATATGATACTTCCCTTGATTACAGTTTATTTACCCATTGGGAAAACTGCAGTTCAGCTCCCTTATGTTACCCTCCATAATGTATATATGGTGAGTCATGGTGATATAAATATAGGACAGCAGAGATGATAATGTATTTTGACTTAATCCATCCATGAAAGTGTCTTGCTGGATCCATCCCTGGTTAGTGGGCAACTTTATCTCAGAAGGAAAGTACTGGTTCTTTCCTTCCCTGCATCTACTTCTTTAACTGTTTCCCTTCAAAATCTTTATATATAATTTTATTTCTCACTGGATGCTGTTTTCTTACATTTCACCTCTCCATCCCAGCTTTGCTGCGGTAGGTGTCACTCAGCAGTTGGGGAGGATCTCATGAGTCCACTTAGTGTGTATATTAAAAAAGCCCTTATGAAGATCACAGTGTAGCTCAGCTCCTACTTCAAGCCTGGAGCAATACATCTGGAATACGTGTGAGGAAACTATAATGAACAACTGTCATCACTGGGAAAACCTGGGAAAAATGCTCATTTGCTTGATCAGTGGAGCAGGAGAAGAAAAATCATCAGATGTAAATAACATAATGAAGGACCTCAAAAATTCAAGAGGCTGTAGAAATCATGTGGGTGCTTTGTCACTGCTAACTTGGAAGATCAGCCATGCACCAATCAGTTGTAGTTGATTGGGTTTATGGGCAGTTGTCCTCTCCTGCTTTCCATTTTCCCCCTCTTCATATGTTAATTCTGAGATTAGAGGTGAAACTAAGAAACTATTAAAAACAGAGCCCACAGACTGTCTTGCCCAGCTCACCCAGTTTATTTTTTATGCCATCTCCTGCTTCTCCTGCTTTGGAGCTTTTAAACAGTAAAAACTCAAAGCAGACGTTGGCATAGTACGGTTTTACAGCTCCCAATGTATAACGTGGTTTACGACTCTATGTACAAATAAAACTCTGTCTTTAAAAAAGGACCTTGGGTTTATTCCCTGCTTAAAATGGGACTTAGAAGTACAAGTCTGAGCAATTCCAAGAGCTTGGAAGTGGGGAAGCCCCAGTGTGCCCGCGTGATCAGCCATCTGTTGAAAGTCCTAATGTACTTCAAGTAGGAGCACGGTGTGATAACCCATTTTATCACCCATACATTGCATAGAGATTATTGATAGTACTAATAATAATAAGGCCTGGAAGGGAAGCAATTAATCATTGTCTGAAGAATGGCAATTCCTCTTGTAAACTTGCAATTAGCCTGCGAGGTGGCTGGCGCTGCCCTCCAGCCTAGTAGAAGCAACTAAAATAAGCAATTCGTGGGTAAAACACATGGTGTTTGGAGAGCTGGTGTCTTCTGGTCCAAGCTCTGTGTCCCTGGGCAAATCCTTACCCTCCCTTTTCCTAATCTGCAAAACAGGATGAAAAAAGCTTGCAGTTTTGAGTTCCAAACCGCTTGGTTTTGGCTTTGATTATGAGGGTTAAGGGCTCAGGGGCCTCTGCCACAGGTACTAGTTGGAGCATCTTTCCATGAAATGAGCTAACTCAGGATAAAGACTGAAGAGCCTTTAGTGCTTCAAACAAAACAAATAGTAGTGATTTTGGATATTGCTGCTGATGGAGATGGTTACAACTAGTGTACTGCAAGTTGTCTAAAATACGAATCCTCCACTATGTCAATCTTAGAATCACAAAGTACCACATTGGAAGGGACCTCAAGGACCATCCGGTTCAGCCTTTGTAGGCAAAGCATGACTTAAACTAGATGTCCCAGCACCCTGTGCAGCTGAATCTTAACAGTGTCCGGTGTTGGGGAATCCACCACTTCCCTGGGGAGATTATTCCAGTGGCTGGTTGCTCTCACTGGGAAAAATTTTCCTCTTGTGTCCAGTTGGAATCTCCCCAGGAGTAACCTGTGCCCATCACCCCTCGTCTGTTCCATCTGATTCCTTGTAAAAAGGGGATCTGCATCTTCTTTATAGCCACCCTTTAAATAGTGGAACACAGAGATAAATTCTCCTCTGAGCTGCCTTCTTCTCTCAAGGCTGAACAAACTCAGCCCTCTCAGCCTTTCCTTATGCACCTTCTCGGCCCTTGGATCATCTCTGTGGCCCTTCTCTGGACCCTCTCCAGCCTGTCCACATCTTTTTGTATGGCAGGGACCAACACTGAACACAGTTAAGGTTGTGGCCTGTACGTGCATGGATCCCCATGACACGGTAAATACTTTCCTAATGATAAGAAGTAAGCTGGTTCCTTTGTTTGGGGATTGTTGGTTTGGTTTCAGTTTTGTAATGTGATGATTTCAGGCATCCTCTGAAAACCTGTCTGGGTATAATCAGTTAAAATCTGACCAGGGTATGATTTTGGTAGTTCGCTTATTTTATACTATAATGTAAACTAAAGATTATAAAACACTTTGTCCACCTAAGAATGTTTTAGCTCAATAAGAACAAAGTATCTACCTTGTATTTAAACTAGTCATTAAACAAGGTGGGATAAGAGAGATTCCTTTAAATTACTGTGTGAATATTAGCTAAAAAGAGTCCAATATTACTCTAGAATAGTGCTTTCCCTAAAAAAATAAAAACTCTTTGGAATATGAAGTTTTCCTTTTAAAGTTCCTTCGACCCCATAAGACTTTCTCCTTTGCAGCCAGAAAAATAATAGTCATGAACTGTAAAAATTGCAGAGCTGATGGTAGTAGTACATCAACCTTGCCTATATTCACACACTTGAAGCATTCCAGGTGGGAAAATACATCTGGTTTCTGGAAACTAACCTTGCCCTTTGCTATTATCTGGCTGATTTGTCATTCTGGAGTGTATCTGGAGCACCAGAACAGCTGAGCTCAGCCCTCCTGGGTCCCCCTCACCAGGGTATGCTGTAAGGGAGCAGAGGTGTGGATCTGTGAGTACGTGTGTGCACACTCATATGGATATATGTCCTCAAATATATAATTATATATATAATATATAAAGCCAAAATGATACAAAAATGCATGCAAAACCAAATGTACACACACAGGGTGTTATTAGAGACAGGAATGAGGCTTGTGTCTGCAGTTAAACCTCTATACCTCCTGCTTTTCTTGAATGTATAGGTGTTTCCCTTGCATTAAGGGTGATGTTTGTTGTTTGCTTTTCAGAGAGAAGGTGCTGTAATTGTCATGAGTTACAAGGATAAAAAGCATTTTCTGTTATGCATGTTCCACAGAAAATCACTCCACCTCTGCAAAGCAATTTCTGAGCTGCTTTTCCTTCTCAGGGGAATAAATCCATCCTCTTTCTCCATCAAAATTAAACCAAAAAAATGAAGGTCCAGGAGGAATTTGGGCACCTGGCATTGGTAGACAAATGGACTGTGTCTACCAGGGGTGCAGGGGACATAGGGGTGACATTCCTTTAATGCATTGTACAATTACCTGTGCTCACATAGGTCTGCTTTCCAGGGGGGTGCTGGCACTCCTGCCATGTATAGTGGGAGTGCTGGATGGGAGCCTCATTTTTATGTAAACCACATACAGTGGAACTCAGGAGTTTGTGTAGCTGTAAACCAGTTAATTTACTACAGAGCAGGGAAATACCCAGTGTTAGGTCTTCAGCAGTAAATTTTGTTGTAAGACAATTAGGATTATTACAACCTTCTGCCCCCTCCTTTTCTCTCTGATGAGTTTTCCTGGCTTAGCAAAGCATCACTAACTCAAAGGATCATAGTTGATTCTATGATTCTATGAAAGGAGACTTTGGGAAACATGTAAATGAAAACTACGTGTTTTCCAAATGGTATTTTATTGCTCTAACCAACAACAATTTCCTTTAGGTTTGTGCTGGAGCCCCTCCTGCCCAAAAAGATGCATTCCAGGTCTCAAGATAAATTGGACAAGGATGACCTAGATAAAGATAAGAAAGAAAAGAAGAAGGAGAAAAGGAACAGCAAGCATCAAGAGATATTTGATAAAGAATTTAAATCTACTGATATTTCTCTGCAGCAGTCTGAAGCAGTGATCCTGTCAGAAACGGTAACTTGATTAACAAGTAATGCTTTATCTAATTCTGAGCAGTGTTCTTTCTCTTTTTAAATAAAAATGGTGATTTTTATGATGTACTTTCTTTTTAGACCAAAACTATCTCCAAGGGAATATGCTGCAATGGTTATATATGTGATAATGAATCAAAAATACAGGGTTTATTTACAGTGTAAAAAAACCCCAGTCTCTCATACAAAAATCTTAACCAAAAGCTATATAGGACTATTTGATAAAAGGAACAGATGGTATATCCAAAGTAAAATAAATGCTACCATTTTAGCAGCCTTTTTTGTATTTGTGGTTCCCAATAGATCCTGATGGGTTTTCTCATATTTCAGCTGACTACTGCAAGACACTGTTTGGTAGGAATGTTAGAAGGTCATTTTGTGTGTGGCAATTACATATTCTTGAAGGCTATTTTGAGCAGAAAATCATAAGCAGTTCCAGTGGTGGCTGTGTGTAAGAATATTAACTTATCTCTCTTAAGCTTTCAATTCTTCATATACATTTAATTCACTGAAACTATCCTAAAGGCTTAGGTAACAAGAAGTTCTAGCTCTGAAATGGAAAGCAAGGCCATTTGAAGCTGGAGCAGGAGTGTATGAATCTGTGCCTGGACACCTGTTTGGAGGCCAATAGTTTCAAGTTTGCCCTTCAGAAATAAATGTAATGTTCTTTTAAAGATTTGCACAAGTACTTGTAGAGCTGACATATAACTCAGCAGAGTCTTGCTTTGGTGGCTGTGCCATTTACAGTGGACTTTCAAAATGATTTCTCTCTGACTTGTGATAACTGGATCCTTTAAGTCTTTCTTTTTGGTATTTGTAGTGGAATGTTACTAAGATTTTCAGCCATTGTTCCTGTGTTTTCTGGGTTTGCTCCTTTTCAGTCCAAAGATGAGCTTAATCTCTCGGATGTGCCTTCTGACAGCTTGGAAGATCACAGTAGTTTTGTCTGATGTACACCCAGTATTAGCTCATTGAAAACCCTAGGTAAAATCTTTGTGCATCTCAGGCTTTTCACCCAAACTCCTTTGAAGCCAGTGAGTTTTCCCATTGACTTCAGGAAACTTAGGATCTAGGATCAGCCATGGTTTGTTTAAATGGAGATTCCTCCTGCCAAAGCCAGCCAGGTCAGCTTCATTAGAGCATTTTCTGACAGAGAATACTTTTTTTATGGATTTGCATGTCATAGAATCCCAGACTGGTTTGTGTTGGAAAGGACCTTAAAGCCCATCCAGTTCCAACCCTCTACCGTGAGCAGGGAAACCTTCCAATAGACCAGATGGGAGGCATCCAAGGATGCTGGAGAGCTGGCTGGTGTCACTGCAAGTTCACTGTCATCTCTGAGAGTCTTGGACATTACAGAAGATTGCTTATGACTGGAAAAATGCAAATGCTGGCTGGAAAGGGGACATGAGAACCCTTCAAGGCATATTCCCATTTGTCATCTGAGGAACAAAAATGAGCTAAGTCCAACATGGCTCAAGTTTTCCACTCTTCCCAGTCAAGAGCATTCAGTGCATGACTGCTATGACTGATATTCCCCTGGTTATAGAGAGGGAGGGAAATCAAAAGTCAGAATTAGTTACTTACAGTTAGTTTGAGCTTCTTGAAATCCATGGATCAATAATCAGAAAAGGATTTTGCTGGCAAGAGAAAAACTCCTTTTTCACTATCTGCAAACTCCTTGATGAGCTCCAAAACGCCCGAGTCAATTTTTAATGCTTGCTGGTAGTGTGGTTTGTTTTCTCTTGCAGGTGAAATAGAGGAAACACTCTCTCGAGATCAGTTTACACGAGCAGCTGTACAATTCCCACTGCTGGCTTCAGGAATTTTGTACAGATAGTGTCAAGCAGTGTAAAGATAAAATTTGTCTTCAATTTTTTGCACTCTGGAGACACATCCCCTGTTAATGATAAAAAAGAGAAATTCTTATCTTTTGTGGGTAAGAATTCAGCTTTTCCATTGTTCTACTTTTGTGGGATGAACTCTGTGCAGGTTCCCTTTTTAAGTTGAAATTAGTCCCAGAGCACTGTTACTTCTCTGCTTTATGAAGAATAAGGCATTTCATTTCTCTGGCATTAGGAACCTGGAAGCAGAAAGTTTGCGAGAACAAGAAAAGATGATGATGAAATGGAGGAGGAGGGAAATTAAGTTGGAAGAAAAAAGTTGGAATCCAAGTTTAACTAAAAATTGAAATTAAAATATAGATTTAATGAGCTTTTAAAGTGAGATTTTAGTAGTAAACTACTATTAGTTACTAGATTTTGAGTTATAGTTACTGGGTTCATTCTGTTGAGAGTTTAGAACTCACTTGTACCATCACTTATTCAATTCCAAGATTTCAGTTATTTGATGAATATTCTAATGGATTCTGAGTGCTGACTTGTGAAATGTTTGGGGGGTTTACAGCAGAAGACATGGTTTTTGTTACTACAATTCCAATCTATGAGTATTTTCAAGAGAATGGGTAAAAGAATAACATTAAGCTCGTATTTGTCAACACCAGATGGATCAAGCCCATCTTTCTTCTTTGGAGGAGGCTGTGGGTAGGAATGATGTGGCAGACCCCAAATATGCTGACTTCAGTGTGACTTCTGGCACATCTCACACACCACGTTCTCATGAGCAAGACTGGGCAATGAAGCGTGGTCTGAGGTGATGCTGAAGGATACTCAGCAGCCTGGAAAGGCTGTGCTCAAAATTGCCATGGGTGAGATGGAATAAATGAGAACCTGTGATGGATTTGGGTAGTGAGATATGTCAAAATAATGGATGTGGAGGAGCACAGTGCACGCTCAGCCTCTTAATCACTGGCTCATGTCTGTTTGTGAGGAGGAGGGTTCGTTGTGTGTCACTCCTGTTTCATCCAGGTGTCAGCACATTTTACAACCAGTTCGTGGCAGTTGTAGCTGGCAAATAGCAGGCTCGTGTTTGGTGGTTCAAAAGTCCAGGTTCAGATATTCACCCCACACACATCTCAAACACAATTATCTATTGCCTGACCACACTTGGTTTCTGAATTACTCTTTACCCACCACAACTAGGTTGTTATCAGGGGGTTGCTTTTAGGAGGGAAGGCTGCATCAACAACCTTACATATGAACCTGTTCTGGATCCTGTTTACTCACTGCTTTGTGCAACGTACTTACAAGATTGATACCAGTTTTACAGAGAGTATCAAGCGAGAGGTGCAGCAGCATGTCTGACAGTGATCATTCCCATCTTTGCAGAGCTTCTGCTGTCCTTTGAAAGATGTTCTCTAATGAAATGAGTCTTCGCATCACTGAGATGGATTTTCTTCTACAGGAACTTCTTTTTTTTCCAATAACATGAACTGCAATGGAAGAACGTGGATAGATTATAAAACTGTAGAATCATTTCATAGACCTTTTGTATATTCTTTAAAAGGGAGCATTCAGAGGCTGTTTTGTCTAATTGTATGGCTTGAACCATAGAATAGTTCAGGTTGGAAAGGACCGTAAGATCTTCTAGTTCCAAAACTTCTTTCCAAATTTCACTGTATTCATAATGAATTTATGGACTGGTCAAACCCAAACTCTAATTACAGAGACCTGGTACTATTATGAGCAGGCAGTTTGTGCTTGCAGCCCAGAAAGCCAACCGTATCCTGGGCTGTATCAAAAGAAGCATGACCAGCAGGTCAAAGGAGATGATCCTGCCCCTCTACTCTGCTCTTGTGAGACCTCACTTGGAGTATTGTGTCCAGTTCTGGTGTCCTCAACATAAAAAGGGCATGGAGCTGCTGGAGCAAGTCCAGAGGAGGCCACGAGGATGGTCAGAGGCAGGAGCACCTCCCGTATGAAGACAGGCTGAGAAAGTTGGGACTGTTCAGTCTGGAGAAGAGAAGGCTGCGTGGAGACCTTATAGCTGCCTTCCAATATCTGAAGGAGGCCTACAAGGATGCTGGGGAGGGACTCTTCATTAGGGACTCTAGTGGTAGGACAAGGGGTAATGGCTTTAAACTTAAGCAGGGGAACTTTAGGTTAGATATAAAGAAGAAGTTCTTCACAGTGAGGATGCTGAGACACTGGAATAGGTTGCCCAAGGAAGCTGTGAATGCTCCGACTCTGGAGGTGTTCAAGGCCAGGCTGGACAGAGCCTTGGGTGACATAGTTTAGTGTGTGGTGTCCCTGCTCATTGTGTTGTGGCCCTGCTCATGGCAGGGGGTTGGAAGTGGATGATTTTAAGGTCCTTTCCAACCCTAACTATTCTGTGATTCTATGTCAGAGGATAAATTAAGCAGTGTAGCATGTGAAGATGGTCAGTAATGTCTTCATAGTTTTCTAGAGATTTATATCTTCTTTTAAATATAACATAAAATTCTTTAACATAAATTCTCGTTGTTAATTCTTTGGTTCCATGATAGCAAACCTATCACTGAAGCCAGGAAGTGAACAGGCCACTCAAAGGCTTGTGTGAGAAATCAGAATAACAGGCTGTTCATTTTATCGACTTAGTGGCATCTAACATCACTCGCTATTGATCTTGCTTTTGTTAGACAAAAAGATATTATCAATGGGTTCATCACGGATTAGTGGTCTCCAGAGAGTTCATATTCCCTGGCAGAACCATGTGAAGCTTTAAGAAGACGACCAAGAATAAATTGAGATTTATTTGAGATGAGTAGCTACAGACCAGGTTAACTTGGGACCTTGATTCTAGTTGTTTGGTTTTCTCTGGATTCTGGCATTGCAGCTTTCCTGATCAATTCCTGTGATTTCCTTAGTTGCTCTTTAATAATTATATGCTTCTGAGAATGTGATTACTTTGCTTATCCTTTACACTAAAAATATGCTTTAAAAGATCTTAAGAGAATCATAGAATCAAAGAATCAAAAATGGTTTGGGTTGGAAAGGACCTTAAGATCATCCACTTCCAACCCCCCTGCCATGGGCAGGGACACCTCACACTAAACCATGTCACCCAAGACTCCATCCAGCGTGGCCTTGAACACTGCCAGGGATGGAGCATTCACAAGAATAAACCTTTGGAGTGTCAGGACTTGAATTTTAGTATTAGGAATATTTCTGAAAGGTCTTGATGAACTCTCCAAAAGAAGTTACTTACTTTATGATCATTCATTTCCTAGAGCAGGGTCTCAGAGACACAGCCTTTTATACAGAGCCTTTTAGGGTTTGTCTCCTGAAAGCATAGGGAAGCGCTCATCCCTCACTTCAGATTTCTCCTTCCCAACACACCTTTTCAATAAACTTTGTGAAATGAAAGAAATTCTTTGGAAAAAGCATGAATTGCTGCTGCCATTTCCTGGTTTGTCCTAATTCCCATTTTCACCTCAGGCTGCTCCGCTTTCTGTGGTCTCTTGGAAATAAAGAATTCCTTTCCTCACTGCGATTACTAGAAATACAGGGGGCAGTGAATGGGTGACAAACAGGAGAGCTCAGAATTAAACGCAGCAAAAGAAATCACCTTAACAAAAGCATTAGTTGTCCATCACATTACAAGTACCATTTCCTGGTTTCTGATGGAAAATTTAAATGGACTCTGAAGAAGACAGGACAGAACAAAACAATAGAGATATTTCAGTGAATTAAATGTAAGCATTAACAGGACAGATGATCATAGACTCATAGAATGGTTTGTGTTGGAAGGGACCTTAAAGCTCCTCCAGTCCCAACCCCTGCCACGGGCAGGGACACCTTCCACTAGAGCAGGTTGCTCCAAGCCCCTGTGTCCAACCTGGTCTTGAACACTGCCAGGGATGGGGCAGCCACAGCTTCTCTGGGCACCCTGTGCCAGCGCCTCAGCACCCTCACAGGGAAGAGCTTCTGCCTCAGAGCTCATCTCAATCTCCCCTCTGGCAGGTTCAAGCCATTCCCCTTGTCCTGTCCCTACATCCCTTGTCCAAAGCCCCTCTCCAGGTCTCCTGGAGCCCCTTTAGGTGTTAGAAGGCTGAAATGCTTTTTTCCTCAGAAGGCAGTTTCACCATGCAAACAATTTAAGAGACAATTCTAACAGGGAAGTAGAGCTGCATGAAGAGAAAGAAAACATTTTGAATGCTGTACGATCTTGTGTAAGGACATAGAGTTCCTTGGCTGTTACCAAGGAAGAGTTTGGGGAATTGGCTCATTGCTTCAGGAAAAGATGCCAGGCTCCAGGAAGGTGTATACCTTGAATCTCATTGTGGTTCCATTGGTGAAGGGAAAACCCTCCAGAAATACTGCATTAAATCTGAAGTATTGAGTGTTACCATTGCCCTATTACTGTTTAGGAGATAGTGAGGAAAATACAGGAATCCCAAGCTCTGCTGCTCAGTAACTACATGCATTCCTTTAATATCTCTTTGTTTTTTTCCCTTGTGCAGATCAGCCCACTGCGACCACAGAGACCAAAAAGCCAAGTCATAAACGTCATTTCAAGTGAAAGACGCTTCTCCGTCTCTCCATCACCTCCCAGCTCCCAAGTGACACCACCCCCAATAACTCCACGGACAAAGCTTTCTTTCAGCATACAGTCCAGTGAGTCTTGAATCTGAACTAAATCTTCTTTTCCTAGCAAATTCTATGCAAAATAACTTGTAGTGAGAGATGTGTGTCTTGAACATTGCATTACACTGTGGTTTGAGTCCTTTGAGCTGCTCTTAATGCCCTCACCATGGGATCGCTTGCAGGAACAAGAACTTACCTCTTAACATCATGCTCCTGGCATTTGCCAGAAGCAATTAGTTCAGCATTTTACAAAAGTAAAACTGTTGCAATGAAAAAGTTGCTTTTCCTCATCAAGTAATCATTAACCATTTCTTGTGTATAGAGTAACTGTCAAAAATCAGTGTTGTACTTGATTCTATATTGGATTTGGGGGGTTTTGGAGCATAAAGGTTGAAAAGAAAATAATCTCTTAATGTAATTGTACTTTAAACCAACTTTTATTTGCTGCTTAGTGAGTACAAGCCAGGAATGGGAAAAAAGCCAGTCTTTTTGATGTATTTTTTGTTTGACATTACATCTATCACTCAGGTTTTCTGTAAAGTATCATCTGTTTGCTTCAGTCTTCAGGAAAACCTATTGCAAAACTGGGTGTAACACAGCACCTATTTCTGCGCTGTTGTCCAAAACTGCTATTCAGAGTTTTCAGTTGCATGTCGTAAGAGAAAAATGTGTTATCTTTTGATATTTGATACACGTACCCAAATACTAGTATAGTTGTCAAGAGCTCAGTAAAGTTGGTAAAGAGGAGAATAGATGATCAGTTTTAAAGAGGAAAGTCTTGTTCCATCAAGATCACTGTTTTATTTGCTTCTTTAGATACGTAAAATCTTCTCCCTTAAATAGTGCTTTGGAAAGTTCTTGTTGCAAATTGTAGAATCACATCCTGTGAGCAGAAATGTGTTTGTTCTACAAATCTATAGCAACAGAACTGTCTTCTAAAGGCACGTGGCTTTGCTTTAATGATTTGAAATTGTTGATTGCAGATGTGTGGAAGAGGGATAAGCAAGAGAAAATCAATGCAGCATTTCCCTTGCATAGTCAGGCACCTAAACTAAATGTTTTGATTACAGTGAACTCTCTCTTTTCTTTACAGTTTTGATAGCAAGAAACTACCAGCTAAAAACTGGAAATACAGAAAAGCAGAGTATATATGCTCATGCAAAAGATACTCTTTGAATTGGATTAGTTCTTCTTGTGTGCATTTTATTAAAACTAACTTGATTTCTCTTTTAAAAAAGTATTTGATGTTATCACATTTTTCTGCACATAGATCATAGAATAGTTTGGGTTGGAATGGACCTTAAGATCATCCAGTTCCAACCTTTCTGCCATAGGCAGGGACGCCTCACCCTAGACTGTGTTGCCCAAGACTCTGTCCAACCTGGCCTTGAACACTGCCAAGGATGGAGCATTCTGAGAATATTAAATAGATACAATAGAAATAAATAAATATAAATAATATATATGTTTAAATATAAATAGTATATAATAGTAAATAATATATATGTGCTGGAGATTTATGGGTGTTACATAGAACAGGTTCAGCTTCTTGCCATATCGATGGGTCTTGTCCCTAATTGAGAATTTGTCATGATAAATGATTTTAGGAATTCCAAGGATCAAGAAGTTACTTCAGAGCACAAACTGGCTAAAAGCAGTTAATGGGTTGCTAAGTAATCCTGCTTGCTTGTTAGCTGGCAGTTTAGGAGAATGGAGTGTAAAATCTGATCATTAGGGTAAGATGGAAAAAAACAGGCATCTAACTGATCTCCTGCCAGCTCCAAGATATTCTCAGTGGCCCATGTCCGGGGAGGAATAAATATTCAGAGCATATTAGTCTGATGAAACACCTTGAATAATGACAACCAACCTGAAATGATGAGTAATTATTTGTACAGTGACTGAGTTAGCGAGGTGTAGTTCAGCTGAATGGAGCAAGGGAAAATGAATAGATCTGTAGCAAATAGATCTTCTTGAAACACAACTGAATATGACTGAAGTTTGTGTTCAATACCTGTTTCTGCAGGAGGGTTGGTGACTCCTGGGTTTCATTAAGCTGTGTGAGAGATTAGCTAGTCAGGGCAAGTAATTTTTTTTCATTATAAAGTGGTGGTGTTCTACTAAACAGTTTGCCAGGCTGAATCCAAATGATGTTGTTAATGTGCATTATGAACTATTCATGGGAATGGAAATACTCTGTCCACATTCGAAGGGATTTATTTATTGCTGTTTTGCAAGAGGATGAGGTTGTGAAGGTGCTGTGTACAGGCTGTAGGAACACAGGAAAAAGGCTGCAGAAAATTAGAGCTGTAACGTAGGGGAAGGGACAGCAGTAGGGCAGGACAGTTGCACAGATAGTTGGTGACCATCCAGGTTGTTCTGAGTATTGCAAACCTTAGAGTTGCCTCCATGCCTTGTTTTCTCTGCAGCTTTAGTGAAACCATGGCTCATCTGCCTTTCTATGGATCTTCCAAGTGTCAGCCTTAAAGAAACAAGGGGGTTTTAATCACTCCTAACAAAATTAGTCTTACCATCTTCTTATTAACACCTATTAGTCTATGTGTGATCACAGAATGGTTTGGGTTGGAAGGGACCTTAAAGCTCCTCCAGTTCCAACCTCCTGCTACGGGCAGGGACACCTTCCACTAGAACAGGTTGCTCAAAGCCCCATCCAATGGCTTAGATGAAGTTAGTAGATACTGTAATGTCCTTTAAGATACAAAGTTGAAGTGCTCAGGGCAGTTGAATTCACTTTATCTTTGGCTAATAGTGCGTTATTATATTCATTTTCAGTTTTCACCCAAGGAATGTGTACAGCGAGACCTGAAAAGATGGCTTGTTTACAGTAAATCCCAAAAGAAGGTTTCCCTTTCTGAAGCAGGCTTCAAGGTTCTACTAAAGATCTAGCTAAAACTACAACTCTGAAGAAAATGTCATTTTCCAAACATCTCCCAGTAATATCCTAAACTGCATGGAAAATTCATATAGAGAGAGAGATGCAGTTGTGGATGAGACATGCAGTATGTATGGCAAGGAGCTGTTTTGTGAGGTTTATGGTCTCCAATGCCTGATGATCTTTAGATGTATGGTATGGCTTGGAAATTCATAGAGAATGAACGGGGAAGTTCATTCACAGCATCCAGGTTTAGTTACAAATGTGTGGGGTTGTTTTCTAATCATGTGTTTAGTGGCATGAGCTTCACAGAACTAGATTCTGATGGAGATATTTAAAGGAAAGTATTACGAATGTTTGGGGAATGGAGAAATCCTATAGATAGAAAAGGAAGGATGTAAAACCAGAGCACTGGGGAATGTGATAAGGAATTCAGGTCCTGGAGGACAAACAACTCTTTTCAGCATGATGTAGAAGAAGCCACTGAAATTTTGAAGTCCCAGGGTGAAAAATACTCTTCTTCCAGACATAGTTGAAGGTTCAAGTGAAAGGATGAAGAGGAAAATTACAGTTTTCAGTGACAAATCAATACAGCCACCTCACAGTTAATTTGTGTTAGTGAGAGGCCATTTTGAGGAGCGATAAAAGGATGCTTTTGGTGAGATGTTGAAAGGAACCTTGCAATAAATACACCTGCATAAACAAATCCTCCCCTCGTTTCACAGATCAGCCCAGTAAAATAAAAAGAACCTTTTTTTTTCATTTCCTAGATCAAAACACTTCCCTAATTTATAAGAAATAAGTTTCTTATCTCGTAGAGCTCACAGTGGGTTTTGCCTGTGTTAAAATGACTGAGTTTCCCTGAAATACACTGTGGGTGGATTTCTACACCAAAACCGATGTATCACTCAGGCCTCAATAAACTTTATTGTCCCTCAGGCTATTCGCCTTTACAGCACCTACCTGCTAGGATTTATCCACTAAGAGAAGGGAACTTTCCACCCAGCAAACAGCAATAATAAATGTGTTGTACTTTCTCTTGCGTGATTTTATTTACTCAACAGCTAATGACTGCTCATTTATTATAGTTACCTGGACTTGGGAAGTTTTTGAGGGAGATGTAGTTAATTATAGGCTTTCATTTGTGCGTTTTATTAACAAGATGCTTTTATTTTACTGGGGGGAAGTAAATAAAGCTCAGCTCGATTATATTTTCTTAGTGCTCTTACCAGAACTTCTGTTGAAGTGTGAAGGTGAAAATGCAGAGCTTGCAGCTGAGAAAAATTACATTTGCTGAGCTAGGAATATTTTGGCATGAAATCTGAAGTAAAAATCATTTTCTATTAAAAAGAGGGCATCATTCGAGTAATAGAGATGAAGACATAGACAAAGATAGCGCATGTGCAGCATTATGGTAATGTCAGTGCCATAGGAATTGGTGTAGGAATCTGGATCTTTGGATTTGATTCAGTTACTGAAAGAACTAACTCAGTGTTGATCTTTACAGACCTGGAGCTGAATGGTATGTCCAACTCCGACGTCCCCGACGTTCCTCCTCCTCTGCCTCTCAAAGGCAGCATGGCCGATTATGGGAACCTCATGGAAAGTCAAGACTTGATCAGCCCGACGACCTCCCCCCCTGCCCATCAAAGGGTGAGTCCCAGAGAGGATGGTCATTTTCTGCAGTTTTCTTTGTACCTTGTAAAATCCCCAGGGGGATGGAATCCTGTTTGTGGATGTGGGAGATCCAGACCCAGAGATTTCTGCTGTTCCAAACAAGTGCGTGGAACGTGAGGGACCAGCATCACTCACGGGGATCAACCTGAAGGGAAGCTGGATTCATTCTGGTGGAGAGGACTAAGCAAAATGTTAGCTGTGTCAGTGAGGGAGCTTTAACCAACAGGGTACAGTCTCAGCAGCAAGTTAGATTTAACAGCCTTTCAGTCCTGTCTGAGGGAAGGAAATAAAACACGTACCTGACATCTTTCCTTTCTGGAGCTCTTTCCAATTGCCACTTGTTTCCTAGAGGCAAACACATGTTGCCCCCTTTGAGGGAAGGAGCTCAGAAACACTCTTCATCATCAACAGGGTTTTCAGCTCTCCAAAGAAAATGCACTTTTCAGCTTTTTCCTGTATTCTGGAAGCATTTAAAACTAATTTGGTTCTTTTCTTTAAAGCAGCACTTTAGAGAAGGGCCATTTATTTTGTTTTCTGAAGGAAAAAATACATTTAAGAGTTGTTGACCCTGGCTGGATGTTGGGTGCCCACTAAAGCAGCTCTGTCACCCCGCTCCTCAGCTTGATGGGGGCAGAAAATACATACAAAAGACTCATGGGTCAATATAAGGACAGAGAGAGATCACTCAGCAATTGCCATTGTGGGCAAAACCGACTTGACTTGGGGAAATCAGTTTAATTTATTGCCAATCAAATCAGAGTAGGAGAATGAGAAATAAACCCAAATCTTAACACACCTTCCCCCCACCCCTCCCCTTTTCCAAGGCTCAACTTCACTCCCAGTTCCTCTCCCTCCTCCCCGCCAGCAGTGCAGGGGGACAGGGAATGGGGGCTGTGGTCAGTTCATCCCGTGTTGTCTCTGCTGCTCCTTCCTCCTCAGGTGAGGACTGCTCACACTCTTGCCCTGCTCCACTGTGGGGTCTCTCCCACAGCAGACAGACCTCCATGGACTTCTCCAACGTGACTCCTTCCCATGGGCTGCAGTTCTCCATGAACTGCTCCAGCGTGGGTCCCTTACCCACAGCCTCCTTTGGGCATCCCCCTGCTCCAGCGTGGGGTCCTCCATGGGCTGCAGGTTGATACCTGCTCCACCATGGGACCTCCATGGGCTCCTCTCCTTTTGCTTTGCTGACTTTGGGGTCTGCACAGCTGTTCCTTTCACATATTCTCACTCTTTTCCTTGGCTGCAGCTGCTGTTGTGCAGGTTTTTTCCCCCTTCTTCAATGCATTATTGCAGCAGTGAATCCATCTTCATTATCGCAGCAGTTCCTCCATCAGACCCAGAGGAAGCTTCTAGCAGCTTCCCACAGAAGCCACCGCTGTAGTCCCCCTGTTACCAAAACCTTGCAATGCAAACCCAATACAAGAGGTTTTCTTTTCATTCACTTTGAAATATGTAACTTGGCCAAGCTGTTATTTTGTGGAAAAACACCCCGTGGCAGTGATTCTTCTTGGTTTGCAGAGGTAGTTTGCAGCGTTTCTCTGCAGCCCATCATTCAAATGAACCTCTGTTGAGTAATCTGCTTTTCAGTAAGAAAAGCAGATTAGAGAAAGCATTTCTAATCTCAGCAGAGGAGAACAGGGTGCCCAGAGAAGCTGTGGCTGCCCCATCCCTGGCAGTGTTCAAGGCCAGGTTGGACACAGGGGCTTGGAGCAACCTGCTCTAGTGGAAGGTGTCCCTGCCCGGGGCAGGGGTTGGAGCTGGAGGAGCTGTAAGGTCCCTTCAACCCAAACCATTCTGTGAGTCTATGAGATCAGTTTTAACTCTGGAATAAATCTGTTTAAGACAGACTATTGCAGTGCACAACATTACACAAGTCCAGCTTTTCCATGATTGAAATTGTAACACTGTTGGTACAGGCTAAATGGTGGAAAAAGCAAATATAGAATAAACCTCAGGAATACGAGTAGTGTGATTAAAACCACCACGTTTTACTCATTCTGTGCATATATTGAGGAATTCTCTACTTTCACCCTCTCTTCACAGTTCTTCCCCATGGCTGGATGGTTTTAGTAAATATTTTCACTAAGGTTTTTTGCAAACCCTTTTGCTCTATTTCCCATCAAAGTGTACTAAGCTCTTACCCATTTCCCTGGCTTCTCCCTCAGGGGCCACCTCTCGCTTGACCTGAATTCAGACCTCTAAGTGGAAAATTACAGGAGGTACAGGAGGGCTGCCAGGAGTTTTGTCTGAGGGATCCATCTCCATGAAGAAACCTCAGAAATTCAAATGAGGTTTCCAGTTTCTCAAACTGCTTCTTGTGTGAGCTCCAGGGCAATAAATTCATGTTGTATGATACACTGTAAGTTTTAGGTGATAAAACACATGGTGAGAAGTAAAATCCTAATAGCCAGTTTCCTTTGTCTTTCTGTCCCATCCCTGGAGCCATTCCAGGCCAGGCTGGATGTGTTTCTGGGCAACCTGATCTAGTTGAAGATGTCCCTGCTCATTGAACAGGGCTGGGACTATATGAGTTTTGAAGGTCTCTTCCAACCCAAAGTATTCTATGGGGCTGTCTGTGGGAGTTCCATTCATGGCCAAATGCTAGATATTCACTGTACTGCCTGCAAATGCCATCATGCTGCGGTGGTTGAAGCTCAGATCTAAAGACAACTCAGGTACCTTGGTCACGTTGCTGTTGAAGATGTGACCTTGTGTAGCTCCTGTACCTGCCATGAGTAGAGTTTCTGCATCATTTAATGGACATTCATAAAAATAGAAGCAATATACTCTTGGTTTTTGCAAAGTTTTATTCAGCTCAGTATTTTTTCTCTTTACAGCCTTCATTGCTCAGATTCCTTCCACTTCCTTTTCATATATTTTGTAATAGAAATGGAGCCCATTGCGTAACATCCAGTGTTGAAGGCCCTCAGGATTTAAGCAGACCTTAGAAATGCAGTCCAATATAGGCTATACACCATTAGCTCCCTGTCCAAACTTTTCTTCAGCATTTGTATTTCTATAGACTTTCCAAGAGGAGGAAATAAACTTTAGAAGTCTGCAAAATGGAGCTAAAGCAGATTTGTCACAAAGCCACATGTATTAGTCTGAGAATTAATTTAGGAAAGGCTTCTAGTCTTGTAACAATCGCTCTGCACATCTGTTTCATCAGGTTTATAGGAAGGAAGCTGTTAAAGAACATCAAGAAAATGAGTAGTGCAGGGCATGAAAGATCAGATGGATAAATTCTTATTACTGCTGTGATTAAATCCCACTCCACAGTTTTTAATGCCTTGTGTTTCCTGGGTCAAGTAGCTACATATTTCATAACTTCATAACTCTGTCTAGTAAACTGATCATCTTTTAAATTACACAGACATTGTATCAGTGAAGAAAAATCAGTTTAAAAATATTATAGATAAGATTATCTTGGTACCTTTTAGAATGGAAACATCTCCTTGTATGAGAGATCACTACACTGCTCGCTCTGGTTGTCTTGCAGCTACTTATGAAAGCCAAAAAAAGGTGCTGTAGTGAACTGAGAGCATGCAGTGACATTTGCATCAAACAGATCAAATACATCCCTGGCAGTGTTCAAGGCCAGGTTGGACACAGGGGCTTGGAGCAACCTGCTCTAGTGGAAGGTGTCCCTGCCCGTGGCAGGGGTTGGGACTGGAGGAGCTTTAAGGTCCCTTTCAACACAAACCAGTCTGGGATTCTATGATCAAATCAAACTGCAGCAATAATATCATTTAGTGTCTGAGATGATAATCTTAGATTATTTGGACTCCACTGTTAACTTGGTCCACATTAAGTCGTTTATCCAAGTGATCTTCAAATTATAGTTTTCTGATTGTCCTCTACCTGTTGTTAACTGAGACCCTTATGTACGTATTCTTGCACTGTATGATTTGTTCTGCTAAAAATACTCTTAATAATATATGGGAACATAAAAAAGTCTACAACGCTTGCAAGGATTATTATTACATCAAGGGATTCCTTTAGGCAGTTATCATTCTTTATGGGTTCATCCATACCCATGCATACGAATCACCCTCCTGCTTTGTATTCACAGCAAGAAGGGAAACTCAAAGAAAATAGACAAAGGAGCACTTAGATTTATAATATTGGCTATAACACTTGCTAAGCATCAGATAATGGTTTGGATGAGAACATCTCGATCAATCCATCATAGATAGAGAACTTGGCAAGGAGGGACAGCAGAGGCTGAAGGGGGACATAACCTGAGGACTGGAACAGTCTCGCCTGGCTGATGACAGCGGAGCTTATTTTGAGTCTGGGATCCTGTTGCACAGGGAGCATTGGACGAGTTATCTGGATATAATGGAAGTGTTTAGATAAAAAGAAAAAATCAGGAGGGTTGTTCATGTGTTATGATGAATACACCATCATATATCATTATCTCTCACATTAGCTGCAGTGAGCAAAAAGTGATCTTAAAGGCTTCAGCAAATGTATTGTCCTGATGTGGACAGAGAGAAATTAGGGAGGACTACTTCAGGGATTGCAGTTGTTCCTTCTCTTATGTTATTTCTAAGGAGAAGTTCCCTTCCTTACCTAAGTGCCTCATGCAGCCCTTGGCTTCACAGACCCAGTTTAGGGGCTGGTGGGGATCCCTCTGAGCATTGTGGTGTCACTCCCAGGCCCTCCGATGCTGGTTTGATGGCCCAAGGCTCACTACCACCTTGCTTACAGCAGCAGTGGGAGGGCAGTCATTAGGAATGTTATCCCACGGAGATGTTGGAAGAAGTGAATTGGGAAAAAATGCATTATTAATCATAGAATCCCAGCCTGGTTTGTGTTGGAAGGGGCCTTAAAGCTCATCCAGCTCCAACCCCTGCCACACGCAGGGACACCTTCCACTAGAGCAGGTTGCTCCAAGCCCCTGTGTCCAACCTGGCCTTAATTAATCCATTATATCAAATTAGAAAGTTGACTTTGTGAGCTGCATTTGC